ACTTCCCTTGATTTTTCCTGCTCTGAGCAGCTCGGATGATTCAGCCGGGCTTGTCCTGGCAAAATATCCATCGATGGCGAACCTGTGGTTTGTCTTCTTTCGTAAAGATGTTTGTCAGAGGCATGCCAATGATACCACTCACACTTGTGTCGGATAATACTATGACAGAAAATGCTTCAAACTGCCCCGAAACAGCCTGGACCTAAGCCATCCACGCGTCACATTTGCGGTGGAGCCAGTTTGCACTGACACGGCCACGCCAGCACTCGCATGACTGGATCAGATGCGCCTGGGTGAGCTCGGGATGAGCCGGTTGGAGTGGGCTTCACACTCCAGATCAAGGCGTCAAACTGCCCAAACAGAGAAACGCACAGCACCGAGCTCCAGCTAAGATCCAGTCAGCGAGCATGATGAAGGATCGGTCTCGGAAGCTTCGCGCGCAGTCAGTTCTGGCTTTTGTTTTTGTTGACGACGGCCTGTGGCGACAGCTTGACGATGGCATGGTGGGAGGTCAGTTTAGACTCGCGACCAGTTCGACAGCTTATTTCTAACCATTTCTCGCAGTGACCTCAGAGAACCGCTTTTAAGAGATGCTGAGGTAATGTTTAAGACCTGCTAGAACCGGAAGATATGACAGCAACAAACATGAAGCGAAGCGAACTGAGAGTGGCACTGCTAAAAATCGCTGGTCGTGTTGAAAGCCGTGGGCCTCACGGGATAATGCTGCTTTTCAGGAATGCGTCACGATAAGTAGCTAACAAAAAGGTACAAAACACTCTTGTACATAGTATTCTAAACGTGCTTTTCATGCCGTGTGTTCTTTTTTCCCAAAATGCTGTGGATGCTAGCATTCCGCGAGGAAAGGGATTGGGTTCAGTTGCGCCATACCGGCTTCACCGACCGGCGGCGGCGGGCGGTGGCTGGAAGTGAGACTGACATTGAGGTGACCGAGTGTGCACATTACCACGGCATAAACGTGTTTTGGAGGATGTCGCTTGTCTTATTGTATCCAAGCTCGGAATGGAGCGTTTTAGCCCCGAAATAACGCTGATAAGGTTTGTAATATTTCTTGTGTAATACAACATGTTTGCCGCACACCAGGCAATTGCAATGTTTTAGTGCAAATTCAGTCGCGTGGCCCTGGTGCACTGGTGTCCCAATGTTGATTCAGCATATGTACCTCCTGCCGCACTGTTTTACAGCTGTGCACTGGTGTCCCAATATTCATTCGGCGTATGTACCCCCTGTCGCGCTGTTTACAACGCTGTAAGTTACAAGAACAAGGGTAGGCATACAAGACTTCCCTTTATATTTACAATTTGGGGCAAACAGTTTCTGATTTGGCCGCCTTTTTCTGAGGTTTGCCCATTAGGTTTCACTTTGCCCCAAGTGTATGCCAATGAGCCCGAATTGTATATGATGTTTGCATTATGTGGAAAGGTTGTCCTGATTGGATCAAGGCATCTCAGATTGTTTGGGGCGCGCACCAATGTTGTTTAGGGTCCGCACCGCTGTTGTTTGGGTTCCGTACCACTGTTGTTTGGGGCGCGCACCGCTGTTGTTTGGGGTCCGTACCGCTGTTGTTTGGGGTCCGTACCGCTGCTGTTTGGGGTTCCCACCATTGTTGTTTGGAGCGCGCACCGCTTATGTTTGGGGGTGCACACCGATAATGGCATACACTGGCATGCGCTCAAGCGCTCCTGCCAGACGCGTGCTGCACTGTCCCTGCTACAATGTCGACCCAATTTCGATGCAACCAATCACACATCCTACACGCGTCGAAAAATAATATAAAAATAAGGAATTAAGTTGTTGCATGGAGGAGACAGTTTTGAATGTCTAATGTCATTGATTGTTATGAATGTTAACATTGCTTTGAATGTTAACATTCTCTAATGAATGTTAAATGTCAGCCATGTCTACCTCTACAGGTAGTGCTGAGCACATACCGTTAGCTTGCTCCTCTCTTTTTTTTACCTTCGCATCGGGCCTTTATCGGTTAGGGCCTAACGATAGCAGAAGAAAATCTTGACGGTTCCATACTTTGTCGGTAATTGGTGATGAGTGAGCGAAATCCAGGGAGAAAACAGCTTTATGGCGCGCTTGAGACATTGATTTAGCATGTGCGCGTTCAGCCCCAAACGCATGTTACGAAACTACCCCCCTTAATGTGAGCCTGAAAAGGCTAGTATTATCAACTATTCAAATGGGGTGCGCTTACGCCATGACCACTGTGTATTCAAGGGTACTTTTCCCTCCCTGTTTAAAAGCGAAAGGGCGATTATTTCTTCCATTGCTAGTGTCATTGTGCAAACAAAGGAGCCATTTCACTTTGTGTCAGGTGCGACTAACTCCACTTAACGGCAAGGCCCAACAAGCTTTGCAAGTTCGTGGCAGTTAGTGGCAAATTGGACTTGGCGTTTTGCATAGCTAGTATGCGCTATAGTAGGTATGCAGCCAGCTGTAAGCACCATTTCGTGTCACATAAGTTTCGCCGCAAGAAGTTGATATCAGTATTATCGCAGGGAATTTCCACGCCGAACGACACGTTCTCTACGGGTTCCAATTCCCGATTATATGCCCGTCCTTTGTGTGAATGTGCCAGTGTCCCCTGCCTCCCCCCCCCCCCCCCCCCCCCGGGGCGTGCGTCATTCGATCCTCCTCTAGACCGTCGGCTCTTGGCCGTTCCTCCTCTCATACGGCGCCATAACCTTGAGCAATGGGCCCCAATTGGCGCATGCGGCCGAGCCGTCAGCAGCGGCGGCGGCGGCGGCCGGCTGCGGAGCGTGGCTGGCTCGTCACCTGCTCGGCCGACCGTGCTGCCATCTCGGGACGGCGGCCACAGCTGTCTTTACGGTCAATACGAACTGGCCTGAGACGTTGTAATTTAATGGATACGCCCACGAAACGAGATGAGGAAGAGGCCCTGAAACGGCGGCGACGACCAGCCAACGATATCCACATGCTCTATTCTCCACGGAAATATGGGTCATCTACAAAGATTGACTGGTCCAGTGTCACAGAGTTACGCAATTCGCATTACCATCAATTTAGCTGAAACATGCAATGCAGTCTTTGCCATGACCTTTGAACATGTTCAAACGGCTGCTCTATTGTGACGCATGTGGGTCATCGCATACGATCGTGTTAGATGCATGAGTTTCTGTCAGACAAACTGTAATAGGTAGACGAGGCGGAAAACAATTCGGAAAAGGGGCCATAAAAACAGTGATATATCGTTATGCGGTAGAGTTAAGGTTTCAAGTATGTTATCGTGAAAACTCGCATGGACCTCCTGAACAGTTTTGAGATCTCATCCTAAGACGCCTGCTCTAAATTCGATGCTCTTTAGAAAACTGGAGAAGCGTGGTAGTCAAAGATGGGAGGTTTTATTCAAAAAGGTGGATGGCAAGGGGTCCTTTTCTTTGAAACGACTTCGGTACCGAATCGTGCCGTGTCAGTGATAGTCCGGAGCAGACTGTCCCTATGTGAGCGCTCCTCGCACCAGGGGCCATAGAAACTAGCTATGCAAAAGCTAGTTTGCTATAGCTAGTTGTTCTGACGCTTCTAATAAAAAAATCTCATGTCCGAACTTAGCTTGACGGTTAGGTGTCGTCAACAGGATTTATATGGTGAGTATACGCTTTCAGTAAGCGTTCGAGTTTTTTTTTACGCTGAGGAAGCAGCACGTTAAGGACGAGGAGCATATGAAAAACTGAGCTAGAATGAGCCTTCAAAAAATAAAATACAGTGGGGTGTATCCACGAAGCACCTAGAAACGGTCTCCTCAAACGGCTGCGCTGAAAAAGGTCTAGGCCACTAAAATATATTTTCTTTGTCATTGTTGTAGTGTGCACAGCTTCATCGCAGTCAAAATTTAACGAAAGAACAAGTTAAGTGGATTTTCGAACGATGAGCGCATTTCATTCTCTTGTCATGACCGGCAGGCCTTGATACGAGTCTCTTACGCCCCTGGGCAAGTGGACGCTTTTTACCTCTGGTCTTGACCTCCTACTTGAACCATTTTAAAGCCCTATAATCCCCTTTAGACGCCTCGACGACGCGTTTTTATGTTCTAGAAGCCGTTTCGGGAATGCTCATTTAAAGGCACTCGAAGGTAATGTTCCGCATTTGAAGATATTGAGGGAAACAGTAGATATAATGTAATAATCTCACCTATAGCTTTTCGCATACTTATAAGTGAAAAAGTCTGCATAAAACAACACAATATTTCTGTTTAGTAAATATGCTCAATAATGCGTTATTGTTTTATCACGCCATCGTACTTTGCACCATATTAATCTAGAGGCAGTTGACAACTTTTTTCTGGAAATCGTGCTCAGAAACGAAAGACATGAACGTCTGATATGTGCGTCTGTAAAACAAAAGGCACGGGGTTAGATAGAAGGGCGGTGCACGCCCTTCCTGCCAGAGTGAGAGACAGGCGACGCCATGTAGCCCCAGTAGCTGAGTGCGTCGTACAGCCGTAATGACACACACACTCCCTTTAAATTGGCAAGAACTACTGGGGCCTTGGGCTCGAGGAAGGCCACGCTACCTCCACGAGGGCCTCACCTCCGCGTTACTTTGCGACTGTCTACGACCCGAAACATGTTTCAAAAAAGGAATGGATCCCAGTAACATTTACGGCATTGTTACGTCCATATATGTGCCCCTCCCAGAGCCTAGGCAAACTGACATTAGTGGCGTCATCTGGAACAATCATGGGTAGAACGATAGGTTACAACTTCCACCGTCAGAATGCGCTGGGAGCAGATTGTGGGCTGGCCGGGAGCGATGATGACGTCAGGGCACTACAGTCGTTTGCGCACGCAGCGGGGCCGTTCGCCGGCCAGCGGTGTTCAGCGCTGTGATTGGCTGGCTCTAGATGCCCTCAGGCCCGGCCTTGGATTGTTTACTGAGGAACTTCTCTTGCCGTAAAATTTTATCCAGCACATCGTAGTGAAAAGTATAATCGTCAACCAGTGGTGATCATAACTTAGTGGGAGCAGTTAGCGGGCGTCTCTGAGCTCCGTAAATCTGCACCTGGTCAGGTGGGAGCCGTTTGGAGCGTTCGGAGTCGAGCCGGACCATTTGAGGTGCTCGTGTGGCGTGATTGAGGTGACATGGGCGACAATAACATCGCGCTCCGTCCGTACTTCGAACAGAGCGGCTTCTACCAGCGGAGCTCTGGAGAGCAGGCCTACCCGCCCGGGTTCCTCGGCTTCCCGAACTACCAGCAGACGCGCGGCCAGGAGTCGCCCTTCGTGGACCCGACTGGCGCGTGCAAGCTCTACCCGGGCAACGATGTGTCGGCCACCGCCTACAAAGTCGACTGCTCCAAGGAGCCGAACGGCTACAGCCCCAAGGAGCTGAGCGGCTGGCCGGGCTCGGTGGCGGCGGTGGCCGGCGCCGGTCGGTTCGCCGGCCTGCCGGCGGCCGCCGTCGACCCGGCCCGGGAACGTCAGCAGGCGGCCTCCAACTGGCTGGCGGCGTGCAGCCAGAGCACGGCCCAGCAGAGCGCCCAGCTGGCGCAGCAGCCCAGCCAGTATGCCAGCACGCCTATCTACCCGTGGATGGCGATGGCAGGTGAGTGGCAGCCGCGCGCCGGTCCTGCCGTGCGCGGCCCCTTCAGTCCCGCCACCCGCCGCCCGCCGCCCGCCGCCGCCCGACTTTGCCGACTTTGCCGCCCGACCGGCCGGCCGCGCCGCCGCGCGTCGCGCTGTGCGCCGCGACCCGGTGCGGCCGGCCGCTGCGCCAACTGCCCCGGCGACGAGAGCCCCGTTCAGGCGGCGACACTTCGAGCCATCGCCACAGGGGGACCATTGTCGAGCCGTTCGTCAGGGTCTGAGGCAGGGTAAACACGGCGAAGTCGGCCGCCGCCGCCGCCGCCGCCGCCGCCGCCTGGACGGGCCGACCGGCCGAACCCTGTTGAGCGGGCGCCGCTCTCACTGCATCCGACACCCTGAGCCCCCGACCCCACCAAACCTGGGGAGGCACTGGAGGCAAGGCCGCACGTCATGAGCCAGAAGTGACAGAGAGACATGGAGGCATGTGTTGTCCACACTGAGGTCCTATACCAACTTGCCAGCATCTGCACATCAGACTGAGCTATTCGGAGAGGGCCCAGTGTCACAAAGGTTTGGGGATTCACTTCTGTAGACAAAGAGAAACTAGCAAGGAAGTGTGTAATACATGAATCACACTACACAGGGGCCTGTGACCCTGCACACTCTTTTTTTAGCTCCCGTCAGCATACCAGTTTGCCGACTCTGATTTGGATCGTCAATTCCAGTTGCCTTACAGAACGCTGAGAAACGTTGTTTCTGTGATGCGAAGTGTGGCGGGAGATCTACAAGCAATGGTGACGTGAATGCGTCGACACTGTGGGCGCCGCATTCCTCTGGATGCAGTCTATGTTAGCCGCAGACCTGGTGCAGCGTTTGTGTGCGCATCAGCCCCCTCACGGGCTGAATGGTGCCACCGTTTGCCATCGGAAGGGTGTTGTCATATCGACGTTTCCAAGCCCCGCAAGTTTTGAGTCCCAGTCCACATAAGTCTGAGTGGGAGCGACGATCCCCATTCCATCACAGTGCGGCCCGATCCTTTATTCCCAGTATTAATTGCCGCCTCCTGGTGAGACATTGTCCAGGTCCAGCTCCTGGCCCGAGCGTAGGCAATTTAGTTATCGAACGCGGCGAATTTACAGCGGGCGTGCTCGGTGCGCCGGGGCGGCGCGATTCGCAGCTGCGATTGCCTCGCCTGGAGCTGCGCTCCAGACGCCGCCGCCGCCATGTCTCAAACGCTGCCCACATTAATCATGGCCCGTCCGCATAATTTCAGTTGGCGGGCATAATTCCGGTCGGTCGGCGGCCCCCGACCGCGCTCACTCCTAACTGTCGAATGACGCCGTTAAGCTGGGGCGGTCTCGGCGCCGGCTCGCCGTGTCGGTTTATGTGTCGGCTGCGTGGTGTTGTATCACAAAACGCCGCCAAAGCTCAGCTGGGAATCCACCCGTCATGTGCTCACCGTATGGCGTTGCTCTACTCGCCTGTTTAGTAAGCGTGGCGCGTCGGGGGCTGGAGAGTCTGGGTTGGACAGGTTGGGAGAGGACCACAGGCCTCTTCGCGAAATTGTAAGTTTCACAAAGGATGGTGTGCAGAGCTGCTATGGGACTGCCCCCCCCCCCCCCCGGCGGGTTTGCTTGTGTCTTCACTGAGAATGAGTGTCGGCAACAGACCAACGATTTGACAGTCGTTGTAAAGATCTAAGCTGGGTTTATTGCGGGTTGAAGCCAAGGCAGAAGTGCTGCGAAAGGCACTCATCAGCTACGCATGCAACGAGACGCTCTAGTACATTGTCCACTGCTCAGTCTGTGCGTAGATACACCGCATGTTGCGCGGGTTTGTCGTGGCAACTTCTGCAGACTGCAAGCGGAGATTAATTACACTGAAATCCGGACATAAGCTGCACGCCTCAGGCCAAGATGGATGATGCTTGTTGCCACTGAGTGATGCCAGAACGTGCTAGCTGACGGCAGCATGAGGCCGTGTCTACCAAGCCACGACTCTATTGATGAAACGTTCCGCTGTGTGCAGTTCTACCTTACCACTGGCGCTTGGGAGCTCAAAAGCTAAAATTTGTGAGGAAATATTTGCAATGACGTTACAATCTATAAGTGCAACTCACATTGGTGTCCAATGCTTGTTTCCAGCGCAGTGACATCACTAATTCACCGCAGGAATAGTGCCTAATGCCGGCTGCAATTGAGTGACCGATTGACGTAATAACTCTATCGCACACTCGGTAGCTTGGACCCGTTACATGACTGCTCTTGACGCTTCCCGTAAGTCTTGCAGCCAAACAGCTCTACACTCACAGAATAATCACCGCAATCCAGCAGAGTGTCAAAGTTCCGCGCGCTGGGAGCCCGCGCGTGCTGCGAGCACGCTGTTGTCTCGATCTCAGCAGGTCTCAGCCAGCGGTGCGAGCTGACCTGCTTTACTGGACTATCGCCGTGCTGCTTCTAGCCGTCAGGCGGCAGTATTTATGACAGCATTAAATGACACATGATAACTTAAATGCAACAAACGGCTTGGCCAGGGAGGTAAATCAGAGCGATTTCACGGCTTCCTGCCGGCAGCAGGTCGCCACTGACGCGTGCGTCGGTCGGTTTCCTATCGGCAGCAGGTCGCCACTGACACGTGCGTCGGACGGCTTCCTATCGGCAGCAGGTCGCCACTGACACGTGCGTCGGTCGGCTTCCTGCAGGCAGCAGGTCGCCACTGACGCGTGCGTCGGTCGGCTTCCTATCGGCAGCAGGTCGCCACTGACGCGTGCGTCGGTCGGCTTCCTGCCGGCAGCAGGCCGCCGCTGACACGTGCGTCGGTCGGCTTCCTGCAGGCAGCAGGTCGCCACTGACGCGTGCGTCGGTCGGCTTCCTGCCGGCAGCAGATCGCCACTGACGCGTGCGTCGGTCGGCTTCCTGCAGGCAGCAGGTCGCCACTGACGCGTGCGTCGGTCGGTTTCCTATCGGCAGCAGGTCGCCACTCACGCGTGTGTCGGTCGGCTTCCTGCCGGCAGCAGGTCGCCACTGACGCGTGCGTCGGTCGGCTTCCTGCAGGCAGCAGGTCGCCACTGACGCGTGCGTCGGTCGGCCTCCTGCCGGCAGCAGGCCGCCACTGACGCGTGCGTCGGTCGGCTTCGGTTTCATGGGAAAGGGATACGTACAGTCGGTGACCTCGGTGAAATCCACGGTGAAATCACTCTGTGTATTGCCTGTAATAAGTTACTAGTGAAATGAGGTGTAAATCGCATTTAACGTAAGCTAAACTCGCGCTGACTTTAGCGTGACTTACTTATTTAAGGCTCGGCGAAGAGGGATACATTCAAAAGCACCGATAATCATGTCGATGGATGTGCAATTGGGGACGAGACATCGCCGTTTTCATCATTATTCTTACATTCGTACATCATGCGAACAAATGATATACGCCTCTCCACGTACGGCACGCTATCGCCCCGGCGGCAGCGCCGGTCTTCCTCCGCGGTATGGCTCGCCTGCGCGGTATGGTCCACCTCCGCGGTATGGGTACACCTCCGCGGTATGGGTACACCTCCGTGGTATAGTACACCTCCGCGTTATGGTCCACCTCCGCGGTATGGGTACACCTCCGCGGTATGGGTACACCTCCGTGGTGTGGTACACCTTCGTGGTATGGTCCACCTCGCGGTATGGTCCACCTCAGTGGTATGGTCCATCTCCGTGGTATGGTCCACCTCCGTGGTATGGTCCACCTCCGTGGTATGGTCCACCTCGCGGTATGGTCCATCTCCGTGGTATGGTCCACCTCCGCGCCGAGCCTCCACACTCCATCGGCGCACTCACCACGGCCCAATTTCGACGATGCTTTCTCAATTTCCAGCAAAGTGGCGGTGGCCGGCGATTCATTAGATGGTGATTTCGGCGGCGGCCTGCGAAACGGGCGAGCCGGCGGCACCCGCGGGACCGTCCGTCATTGTTATGACTTGGCCTAAGCTGCCATCAGAGAGGCCGGCCGTGAGCAATGGCACCGGCCGTCGGCCGGTTACCGCCCCGCCGACGACGGCGGCCCGGGCCCGTCGACTCGGCGCCGGCGTCGGGCGCCGGCCCCGGCCGAGTCCGCCGCATGCTTCGGCTGCAGTGACGGCGCTCTGCGTAGCCTTCACCTGCCTTGCTGCTGTCGCTGTGTGCTAAAATATGAAGCCTGGGTGGGTGTTTATGCAGAAACATCTCCAGCATCGTCACATTCAGTACAGACTGAACGTCAAGCATGATTTTTCTTTAAAAAAGTTTTAGTATTGGCTATAATCTTTTTCAAAAAGGACTTCAGAAGTTTCTATGAGCAACTTGCTGAGACGTGTCGCTGAGCCAGGAACCAACACGCTGGCATTGCTTTTGTAACGACGCCTGTTGCTGCTCCAGCACAGAACCAAACAATACGTCTTCATGACAATTTATAATCACCTTTTGAAATCACTGGGATCATCCGTTACGGAGGCTCAAAAATAGTCCCATCAGGCAAGTGCCCTGATAGCGTATTTGACCCAGTCCCTTACGGGTCTTGATAGTGAGAAACGTAGGTGTCAAGGCGCATCAAGCTCACGGACCTGTAAAAGCACATCAAGCTCACTGGACCACCCGGGTATCGATGGCCCGCCGGACAAGGCTGGACCACGTCGGCACACGGCTCGGTGGCGCCAGCTGTCGTGACATGAGCGTGTTGCCTGCGGCTGGACGTGCCGCTCAGCACCGCCAGTTGCGCGTGCTGCTGCGGCGGCGGCCACTGCCGAGGTCAGAGCGTGCCGAACCCTGTCCAGTCCGCTCAGCACCGCCAACTGCGCGTGCTGCTGCGGCGGTGGCCACTGCCGAGGTCAGAGCGCGCCGAACCCTGTCCAGTCCGCTCAGCACCGCCACCTGCGCGTGCTGCTGCGGCGGCGGCCACTGCCGAGGTCAGAGCGCGCCGAACCCTGTCCAGTCCGCTCAGCGCCGCCACCTGCGCGTGCTGCTGCGGCGGCGGCTTCCGCCGAGATCAGAACGCGCCGAACCC